GTGGATATTGTTTTACGTATATTTTTGAGTATTTCGGCTACAAATTGTTTAGGAGAAATATATTTTTCTACTTTGAAAAGAGTAAAAACCTATTTACGTGCGTATGAGTCAAGATAGACTTAATGCATTAGGGTCTATTGAAGTTCAATTAGTCCATGAAATTGGTTATGATTATCATATGATTGATTGATATTTTTGCGCCATCTAAATCCAGGAAAAATAAATTTTTAAATTGATTAATATTAAAAATAAAATTTTTTTGGTAAGGTTTATAACTTATTTATCTGTAACATTTATTAGTTATAATTAAAAAATATTTTCTAAGATAATAAAGCTATTTAAATTTAAAACAATAATATCGAATCAAAATTAATAAAATTTATTCTAATATTAAGGGCAGTGCGATAAACAGGGCCTAAGGCGGCCTCAGCTTGAAATCCGTCATTTTATATTGGGATAAATGATAAGGACGAAGTTTCAACAGCATTAGAATAATAGCTATCTGAGCTTCCACTAGTACTAAACATAAGAACAGGAATTTCAATGACGAAGAAAGATAGAAAACGAATGGCCATTACCACTACAGAAGGATGATAGTTCAAATAATCACATAATTATAGATATAGGCAATGCCGCAGTCCAAACTACTATCAAATAAATAATGTTTAACATATTCTTACGCGTCACAACTAATTATTTACTCAAAGATATACATGCTTGCTCAAATCAAAGCTCGTGACAATGGCAAACAATGCTCTAGAAAATGTTGTCTTAAACGCAAGCCGTAAGGTTTAAATTTATCTTGGGACCGTTTGTATAGGTTCTCAGAGGTATATAGGAGCACTGATTTTCTACAAAATTTCATTGCCCGTTTGGCAGTGATGGCGAAAAGTGAACTTCGATTTGATTATCTTTGGCTCACTCAAAAAAATGGTCGACGAGAAGAAATTTGCTAAGATGTTGCGTAGGGAACCGGGAAGACTCAGTGTTTCTGCCAAGAGTAAGTTCTTTAACATTTTTGATAAACTTTCACAATAAGGCTGTGTTTATAAATGATAAAAGCAAGGCAAATTTAAATAAAGGCAAAAGACACAGCTATGAGCATCAGAATGAATGTACAAACATTTACAAATTTCGACCTCGAATCCCTTTGGAATAGCGTCACTTACGATGTAAGTCTATGAGCACTAGTAACCACATTAAGATGAGACGGGCGTTGACTTGGCCTTTTTTTCCCCCACCTACGCTGACAGATAGCCTTGAGAGGCTATATCAGCGTTACCCTAGCGTGTAAGTAGGCTCTTGGGGCTCAAACCAGGAAGTGTTTCTAACACTGTCCCTAGCAAGAGCACTGAGAAGATCCGGCAAGAAAAATCAGTGGGCTGTGCCTATGGGTTAGTTTACTCGTCGAACCCTTCGTCGCAAATGACGGGTTCGACGAGAAAGCTTTGCCGGAGTATCACGCTAGCCCTGTACCCACTTACAAGTTTGGTAGCCAAACTGCAGAGTTTTGGCTGGCACTGGCCACGCTCATGGACGTCAGCAATGCAGCAGGGTAGAGCCAATAGTTGTAGTACACACAACACACCTACTTTACGGCAGAAAAAGGCGGGGTAGTGGTTCCTACCGGTGCGGACTCACAAGAGGTCCTACCACCAGTAAATACGCAAATTATAATTTTGCAGGTTTGATTTTTATTACACGATGTTATTCCTTCACAGCGGAAATCAATCGTGAACATTTGTTAAGTACGTATTACATTAGAAAAATTGGTACTCGCCTGCGGGATTCGAACACCGTTGCATCACTCGGTACAAATGCACCGGACGTCTTATCCTTTAGGCCACGACGACTTCAAATTATTATTTATTTATTAGGTACACAATACACATCACAAGCTAAAAAGATACATAAAAACACAATAATAAAGAAACAAAATCTGGCTTGCAACATAAGCCATGTGTGCACCACGGCTGCGTAACCAGATGGACTGTGAGCTCGTCCATTCATCTAAGCAATAAAGAAAAATACATTCAATAGTTTTCGTATGTATTTATCAGTAATATGGCGTAACTATTCAATTATTGACAACGAAAATATTGAAATCTTGAAAAATAAAGTCCAAGCTACTGAATTTGTGAAGCTATTTTTTAAATTGTAAATATTCGCTTTTTATCGACTGAGCCGGCCAACTAGATCGTAAGCTTAGCTATGTTGTAGATTTACTAGCAAAACTTCAATTAAGATCGCATTAAACCTAATTTTTCAAATTTCCCAATAAACAAAAAATGTAGATTCATTGTTTAACTTGAAGTAATGTTTGAATATTCGTAACGTCATAGACATAATATGCTAGATCCGCAGCATATCATGTTGTGAAATAGATGTACCTATATATACCTAGTCAGGTCATAAATTCTGTCACATGTTTAATGTAAAATAATTGAAACAAGTTTATTCATTATGTAACCATTCATATACCAAAATGAACTTAACAAAACATAGATTCTTATGACACTAAAGTTTATTCAAAATGACCTCCGTAATTTTGAATACAGGCCTTCAATCTGCGCGGCCAGTCGTCTATCGCAGCACGAACGAGGTCCATGTCAATATCGGCGGCTGCCTTAATCAAGGATGTCTTGAGTGACTCCAAATTGGGATGAGGCTTTGAGCACGCCTTTTCCTCCAAGTGTTGCCATATCTTGTAATCTAACGGATTCAAATCTGGACTGGAGGAGGGCCAGTCTTCGTGCCGGATGAAGTCGATTTCACGCGCCGCCAGCCAGTCTTGTGTGCTCTTCGCTCTATGAGCTGGCGCCGAATCTTGTTGGAATACCCAGTGCCTGTTATTGAACATGGTATGAGAAACAGGTTCCACAAGGTTCGTCAGGACTGTATTTTGATACACAACTGCATTCGTTTTTACACCTTTCTCACAAAAATGTACCTCTGTTAAGCCCCAATAAGAAACTCCCAACCATACCATGAGCGAGGATGGAAAATGACCTCGTTGGACACGCGGAATACGGTTGCTCGCTTCTTCACTACTGTGTGCGTACACCTTATCATTTTGTTTGTTGTAGCTCTCTTCTACGGTAAAAATTTTTTCATCCGAAAAAAGAATTTCCCGATATTTTTTTCCCGCGTACCGCTTCAACAAAGCGCGGCATCTCTTCAGTCTCAGGTCCATTAGACGAGCATTCAAACGATGTCCTGTTTTTCTTCGATATGCCCGAAGCCCTAAGTCTTCATTTAACACCCTTTTCACCGTGGTTCTGCTTAACCCCATCTGAAGGGCCAACAGTTTCTGCTTACGTTTGGGATTTCTTTGAATTCGCGCCTTCACAGCTTTTATCACTGCTGGAGTCCTAACAGACCGAGGGCGACCACTTCTTGACCTGTCATCTACACTAGAGTCTTCATTGTATCGTTTGATGGTACGATAAACGAATCTTTTGGTTATATTCAAATTTTTCAGTATGTTAAAAATTTGAATTGGCGCGTAACCGCAACGATGCAACGCAATAACTGCAACACGGTCTTCTTTAAGCGTCCACTCCATATTTAAAAATGAGTAAAATTCTAAAAGTATACATTTTTATTTTCATGAACAATTCGAAATTCGAATTCAATAAACTTTTTTGTGGCCAGCATTCTAAAAGAAAAGTTTTTACTGTGTGACAATACTTATGACCTGACTAGTTATATATCTTATTTAATAAGCACGCAAAGATTTTTCCAACACGGAAACTGTGAGGGGAAACAGATGAGGGACCCAAACAAACATCGTAACCCGATTACAAACTTCAACCTATACAAATAAAAACTGGGTCAACAGAGGAGTTAAGAAAAATACTGCCCTTTAGTAAATATTTTCGAGGTTTGACTGTTGGTGTGGTTTATGTTAATTCGATAATTAAATGAAGATTGAAAACAAATAAAAATCAGTGGCTTATTGGTGTAGACAGACAGGTGAGCTCACCTCTCTGCTAATTTGAACAAACTGTAACACTAGCAATGCTATGAACACAGCGACGTTACGGCCTATCGTTGGGGGCTCTTTAAATCTTGTTTGAAAAAAACGGCTTAAAGCGTTCGGACATGTATATCGGAGTAACTCATTCTCCTTTTTTAATTGGTCATATGAGTGAACGCACTCACGACCCACTTAATAAAGTAGTTAACAGAGCCAACGGACATCCTAACGTACAGCCATCCGACATAAGTGCACCTCATCTCGATTAATCATCTCAAACTTACTATTCGGTGTATTCATATTTCAATGTGGATAGCGCCATGTAGGCTGTGGATGTCCATGCAAAAGCTTCACGCATTTAAGCGAAAAACAAAAGCTTCAAAACGTACGTCCTGATGTTTCTCGTAATTACGGAAATTAAATAATATGCGGATTGCATTCATGCTACGTTGTGTTATACGTTTTGAAAGTTATTAGTGAACACGAGCTAGTTACTCGTGTATTTACTCGTGTGTAACCTCGTACCGGATAACTTTGAAATTATTAAAAGCGACTAGGGAATTTGTGCAAAACTGCGATGAGCAAGCTTACGCGTGTTTGTCAGGACAAAAAAAATCTCCAATGCTACCAAGATGAGGCTAGTCCAGACGTTGGTCTTCTCGATTTTTCTCTATGGTGCAGAGTTGTGGACGATTCGAGTAACAAAGCGAAACGAAATATAAGCGTTCCAGCTGTGGTGTTGGCGAAGAATGCTCCGCATACCGTGGACCCCCAGGGGAACAAACCAATCTGTTCTCGAGCAACTTCGCGTAAAAACGAAACTGTCTACGATTTGCTACCAAAGGGTTCTTGGTTATTTTGGTCACATACTCGGCTGCCACCAGACGACCTAAAAAATTGGCTGTGGTGAGCAAGGTAGAAGACCCGCCGGCCGGCCACCAAACCGTTGGTCAAATCAGGTGATCACGCTAACCGGACTCTCCGCTGCGACCGCCGTGGGAGAAGCCGAAAACTGAACAAAATGGAAGCTCCAAAGAAGTACAAAGAGCCACGAAAGCCATTTAGGAACACAGCCTTCAGCAATGAAGTATGCGACTCAGATGAAGAAAAAGGGAATTTGAACCCTGGTTTGGGCATTAGACGGGCAGGGCAATCGATACACTGGATCATTCGAGATATTCATTATTTAAAGTTTAACCCTATTATTATTTAACTATTATTATTAACCTGTGTTTTTACCGCACTTGGTTGCTTCATTTTAATTATGATTAACTAAGATAAACACAACTTGAAGTTTATAAACTCTAAAAGATTAACACCGGTGCTCAATTTAAGATTGAGGTCTCAGTTGCATTGCTAAAAAAACCCAAAAAACCCGGTTAAATTTATGACTCGGATGATAGCTCCTTTCCACCATTAATCTTCTGCTCAGTCGTTCCCTCGTTGTTGAGGATCGGGACTCTTCTGTGGTCTTCTCACTGTTTCTCTTCATCTATTTCTATATTTTGCCACGTTTCGTTGACCGGCATTTATTAAATGCTGAGTTACCTGGTCAGACCACTAATGCTTGATATTGTAATTATAGAGGCTAGAAACTATTGAAGTAGATACAAATATTTGCAGATGCCGATACCACACACGGCTTGTAAGCCGGACTCGACTGATCGAAAATGCTAAACAGCGCACACGGCTCACTCAGTTGTTTTTTTATTTTTTAATCATGATGTTGGTTTTTTATTAGGTGAAGAGCTCAAATTCCAGAGGATGCTAAGTGGTTACCGGAACTGTACTAGAGTCGTCCAATTTTTTATAAAAAAAATCTTGCCTATTACTTTCAACATATCCGAAAGGTATAAATAAAAGTATTATTATTCAATTACGCACAGTCTATTAGGTAGGACCTCTTGTAAGTCCGCACGGGTGGGTACCACCACGCCTATTTCTGCCGTGAAGCAGTACTTAATGCGTTTCGGTTTGAAGGGTGTGGCAGCCGTTGAATTGAATTGAAAGGATGTCTAAGATTATTTTTTTTTCTTTTAGTTAATTATTGAAAGACACTCTAACTCTAAACGGTCATGAAACTTTTCAATTAACAAAAACTAACACAGCGAGATTTATTTCATCCCTTCTTAAACGTTAGTCTCTCTTTAAAGAAGGCTATGGAATGGTGTTGAAATCCTTAGATACACCGACATAATTGTCTCTAGATACTGAAGATATTACTGTGGAGCTACCAACGCATTCCTATCAAATGGAAGAGTTTCTACGTTTGGGCTTAAAAATACGTCACGTTTCTATGCAGCATACACTAACAGGGTCGCAATCAGCCCAATTTAACTTCTGTCACACTACAAACACGAATTTTTTATTCTTCCCCAGAATTCGGCTTCGGCATTCGTCATGTACAGATGATATGCATGTCTTTCTGCATGATAGCTTTGTACATGGCACGCAGCAGTCTCGGAGTCGCGATTCTGGCCATGACCGATGTTTCTAGAAAGAATGATACTAACGTTGAGGTATGTTGTTTTTTAATAACGAGCTTGTACGAACAGACGATCACACTGCATAAGGTTAATGCTTAGTTGCATTCGAGAAAATCTATTATGCCATTCAAAACTCGCGCTGATTGTCCGATCCAACATAAATGAATGTGTATAATTACCGGACCAGACTGACATATCCTTATTATTATTTTTTCTCCAAATTAATTTACTGATTGACATAATGATAGCTAATATTGACATAGAGTGGTTACTACTGTATTCATATAATTATGTGTTTCTAATTCATTTCCTTTGTATATTTAATTAATTGAATTAGTATATTGTTTATTTTCTATTTGTATTGTTGAACTGTTTGTGTGCTGACTATTGTATTATTATTAATTTATGGATTTTTCTGAAATAAATGTTTTAAAAAAAAAAAAAAAAACTACGTAAAGTGCGTATTTATCGTGCGCATAACGTTTATCCAACATTTTGAAGTTTATAGGTCTATAGTTTCTTAATATTTTGCAATTTTTGCATTTTCGAGTGGAGGTCAAAAGTATTTATTTAAATTAAAAGTCAATGTGAAATCTTCCTGTCATTTTATTATAGAAACTAAGCATTCAATCAGGTCTTACGATATGTAGATGGTTTTTTTTTAATATATATTTTTTTTTATTGCTTAGATGGGTATCCGATCTCACAGCCCACCTGGTGTTAAGTGGTTACTAGAGCCCATAAACATCTACAACGTAAATGCGACACCCGCCTTGAGATATAAGTTCTAAGGTCTCAGTATAGTTACAACGGCTGCCCCACCCTTCAAACCGAAACGCATTACTGCTTCACGCTTATTATTTATTATTATTACCGGTGTAGGCAGACAAGTATACGGCCCACCTGAAGGTGAGTGGCTAGCGTCGCTCCTGGACATCAGCAATGCCAGGGGCCGAGCCAAGGCGCCACCTACCGCTAACCTACGTTTTATTTTAATAAGCCATTCAAATAATATAGCATCTTTTACATTTTCGATCATGCTTCCAATATTTTTTTGTTTTACGGAACCCTCAAAATTAAAAGATGTACCCTGAATTCAACAAGTAGATTTGAATGGAAAATTTCATATAAAAGTAAATATTCAAATAGTGACTATTTATGCTTGTCACACATACTTTATCAGTGGATCAAATGTAGTATCATTATAAATCATTTTTCTTGTTTGTATTATTTAGTAGTGTTATTAGAATTTAACTTAAATATAATTAGCAGTTATACTTTATCTTATCATTAATTACGTTTTTGGTCACACTGTTTATTAAAGATAAAGTTAGACTAACTATAATAACAGTGATTTGAGATGCATTTTCCATCGCTAAGCTAATCTTTCCTCTTATGCTAACAAAAAGTATGAGGGAACAAACTGCGTCGATATGGAATAAACAACCATATTATTATAAAAAAATATCCATACACATCGGTCAATGAAACATAAAAAAAAGATTATAGGTTTTTATAGACGCTTGATGAGTTCGCGGTCTACCTGGTGTTATATGGTTAACGAAGTCCATTTTCTGACAATGTTTATGCCACCTACCTACCTTGAGACTTGAGGTCTATGTCCTAAATGTAAATTAACTATGCGGAACATAATTTTTGTGGGTTTGATTTTTATTACACGATGCTAATCTTTCACCATTGAAGTCGATGGTAAAGTCGCGGTAGGTATATTCCAATTAAGAGAATATGCAGTGCCTAGCGCTCTCTGAGTATTATACCGACCATCCGCCATCTACTAGCCGTAAGGCGTATTGCGAATTGGATTACCTAGGCTAATTACTAGACTTTATTGGTTAATATTTCTTGACTAATGCACCATAGATTCACTTCCATATTTGCTTACCTATATACATTTGACATATTTATTCATATTTCGTGAGGTATATTTTTTTTTTTGGCTTAGATGGGTGGACTAGCTCACAGCCCACCTGGTGTTAAGTGGTTACTGGAGCCCCTAGACATCTATGACCTAAATGCGCCACCCACCTTGAGATATAAGTTCTAAGGTCTCGAGTATAGTGACAACGGCTGCCCCACCCTTCAAACCGAAACGTATTACTGCTTCACGGCAAAAATAGGCAGGGAGGTGGTACCTACCCGTGCAGATTCACAAGAGGTCCTACCACCAGTAATTACGCAAATAAAAATTTTGCGGGTTTGATTTTTATTATGCGACGTTATTCGTTCACCGTGGAAGTCAGTCGCGAACATTTGTTGAGTACGTATTTGATTTCTTTAACAAGATAAAATCCTACTATTGACTTTTTTACTTAAGATAATATTTGATCAGTAAAAATAATAACAATTTTGGTGTTATATAAATTAATAGCCAATTTACGAGGAATTTTTCCACCGAACAGGTTTACAACTGGGACAAGAAGACTCAAGGTCTAATATTGTCATCGTTCTTCTGGGGCTACATGACTATGCAGATACCAGCTGGACTCCTCGCAAAGAAGTATGGAGGAAAACCAATACTGCTGGTCGCATTGTTAGCAAATGGGTCACTTTGCGTGCTGTTGCCCACGCTCGCTAGTTTGGTAAGTATAAAGAAAAATATAAACTTCTGCTACTTGTCATTCTAATTTTCATACTACTTAACTTCCTGAATTTATAACCCATATTTACTATCTTCAGTTTTTTCTAGCAAAGGTGGTTTCTCTGGTTATCCTATTACTATTGTGTTTATTTTAGTCGGGAAGAAATTGCTCATTCTAATGCGGTTGTTTCATCTCTATTGATTAACACGTTCACTGCCATGTCACCGGTGCCCTACGCGGCGCGCTGAAGTCACTTTGTCGATTTCTCTCTTCGTTCTTCTTATTAAGGCACCGGAATATCTAGCAGACTCTGGGAAAGAAGAATCTAAAGATACTGACATTGAATATTTCTAAGAGACCTAAAAGACCAAAACATACATTAACAAACAAAAGAGGGCAAAGTTAGGCAATCCAAGCGCTTAGTAACAGAAATCGACATGATTACTTCAGTGGGCCGCATAGGGCACCGGTGACCTACATGGCAGTCAAAGGGTTAAAACGTATAATTCCTAATGTAAGGTAACAAGCACTTCATGTTCATAAATTCGCTACGTGCACTTACTTCATTGTATCTGTCATCCAAAAAGCTGTAGGTATCTATAAAGACGAGTTTTATTCTATCACTTTTTTTTCCTACCTAATCTGATAGCCTTGAGAAGCTATATCAGCGTTACCGAACGAGTAGGTAGGTGAGCTCACGGGGCTCAAACCTGGCGAAGTTGTTAACACTGACCCTAGCATGAGCAGTGCTTCGCAGAATCTACTACCGCATCGGAAAATCGAACCACTGAGAAGATCCGGCGAGAAACTCAGTGGGCTGTGTCCGTGGATTAGCTTACTTGCCGAGCCCCTGCGGGTTCGACGAGAACGATGACCGGTTCTATCAAAGATGTCGTTGATAACCACTTAGCATTAGTGGACCAACTCGTCTGTTTATCTCAGAAATTAATTTTAAACGAATAATTCGAGGCAAGTCCTTAGTGTAACACCCGCTTTCATTTTCAGGGAGGTTGGCCGATGATATGCCTCTGTCGAGTACTCATGGGCTTAACGCAAGCTTGCCTCTTTCCAGCCAGTCACACGCTCCTGGGAAGATGGTTACCAGCAAACGAACGTACTACCCTGGCTGGCGTTGTATACGGAGGTATTTAAATTATTTTGTTGGTACTAACAAAAAAGTGACTGACTTAAAAACTAACTGCTTGGAATCAAATATCGTCGAATAGCTTATTTTATAACAAAACGTGTTATTAGAGTTAGAGTCGATTAATAACTGGAGCTTAAGTATAATTTTGAGGAAAATGGCGCTATCCCTATGTAGTGAAATGTTGGCACGCAAACGTGCACAGTTTTAGGACCCAGACCCTATTGACCTTGTACCTCAAATGCCATTTCCCATTCACTACACAAAAAATAAAACATTAAGTAGTGGTTTTACAGTATTTTAAACAATAAATCATGCCTCGAATCTGTTTGTATACCCGAATAAGTTAAATATCTTATTTCAGGAGCACAAATGGGTACAATCATAGCCATGCCGGTATCAGGAGTTTTGGCAGAAACTGCAATGGGCTGGAAGTTAATCTTTTATGCTACGGGAGGATCTATGTTTGTCACTGCTGGACTCTGGTTCTGGTTTTCGGCCAGCTCTCCCGAAGAACATCCAATGATGTCTGAAGAAGAGAAATATTATATTGAAATGGGGTTGAATATGAGTACGGCCTTTCACAGGGTAATAATGACTTTTGTATACAGGTCTACGATTTTTATATACATTCAAATTATTGTATCTGTATAAAAATAATAAAACACTTGTAACGATATTTGTCGGCCAACAGCTAGAAGTTAACGGAAACTTAAATCAGTAGTAATGTTTTAAAAAAAATCCACGTATGTAGTCCCAAGACATATTTGGTTTCGTCTGGCTCAATAGTGCAGTAATTAGCAGCCCTGACTATTGCGCTCGTAGCTTCGATTCCCACATCGGGCAAACATTCGTATGATGAATTTCGTATGACGTGTTGTTTGGTCTTTGTCTGGGTATTTATTGTCTATGTATTTAACGTATATAAGTATGTTTGTCAGTCTCTGGTACCCACCCACAACATAGGGAATCCTTAGACAGGGCCGGTTGACCGAGCGGCTCTTCTCGGTTATTTTTTTTTATTCGTTATTTTTATTCATTAGTAGGAGGAGGAGTAGTAGGAGATGTATGGAAATGGTAGTGCAAGGTAGAGGGGTAAGAGGTAGACCGAGAAAGACATAGACGGAGTGTCTGAATGACAATATGAGTGTTGAGATGACGGCTGATAGAAGAGAATGGAAGAGAAACATTTTCTGTGCTGACCCCACATAGTGGGATAAGGTGGAGAAAAAGAAGAAGATTTTTACTTATTAGTTAAAGATATAATACATCTAAATATGCCTTTAAAAATCGTTCATAACATTATTTTTATTTTAGGGCAACCGCCCGACACCATGGAAAGAGATGCTTAAGACAGGGCCACTGTGGGCCATCACGGTCTCGCATATCGCCAACACCGTCGCTTTCGTGCTATTTTTCGTCGACTTGCCAACGTACTTGGAAATGGCCATGCAAATATCTCTGAAGAATGTAAGTAGTTTTTTTTTCCATTTTTAATTCGACTCTTAGCACTGTTTAATACAATTCTCTTGTATTCTTTGTTGTAATACTGAAGTATAAGTTTTCGGTTGAAGATTTTAAGCTCAACTTGGTTTTTTTTATGGAATGTTGGCGATTTTTCTGCTGCTTGGTAGATATTGTTATTTTGAACAGCACCAATATCGTCGACATAGAAAAAGAATTTGAAGTGATCGTGGCCTAAATGATTAGATGTTCAGTACATTCGTATGTAGCGATGCACCGGTGCTCGAATCCCGCCAGCAAGTACCAATTTTTCAAATTAAATACGTAGTTAAAATTTTTTAATGTTCACGATTGACGTCCACGGTGAAGGAATAAAATCGTGTAGTAAAAATAAGTCAGGAACTATCTTTGAAAAATCTATACTTTCTATGAAACAAAGTTTCCATAAGGACAGTTAATGGTGCCTACCCTAATAGTAGACGGGAGCAGTATACCACGCTAGACCAACCTTGGAATGGTAATCTATAAGACTAGCCAATCGTGTGATCAAGCTTTCTGTACAAGATTTTGAAGATATAAATGATTTAGTCCTTAGTATTCTAGATCAACAGCATAATTATTCATTTCAGAGTGCTCTTCTATCAGCGCTACCCTATTTCGGTATGTGGGTTGGCAGTATTGCCTCTTCAATTATTTGTGAGAAGATATACAACAGAGGTTTACTTTCCATCGGCGCCTGTAGGAAGATATTCAATTCTTTGGGTAAATATCTGGTTAAATGAAAAAGTACCTAATTTATTAATTGGTGTAATTTTACATTGCTCTGGATTAGCTTAGAAAGGTAGGAAGTACCAAAAACCAAAGACTAATACCATCAAAGACCGTAGACAGTGCAAAAGGCCCTATCCACTTTCGAACACCAGGTTAAAGTTTCAAGTATTGGTGTCCTTCCTTGGTGGTTTAAAGAAATTAAATGACATGATTATTTCACAGCATAAATAAACAGTATTTTGATTCTCATCTGCACTCGATAACTATAATCTATGGTACCCGTAAATACATCTGAATTTTATAGATGCCGTTACTGTAAATAGCAGTTAGGCAGTTACCAAGTATAATAAATTTTGTATTTGAATTTTGACTTCTGTTATTATTATATGACATAGTATACGCAAAGATTGCTATTAGTAAAAGGACTACCCATTTCGACATTTCCTTTTAGTTTAATTTATGAATATAGCTTATATCATAAATATCTTTTAATGCTTCAGGATTATTCGGGACGGGTGCGGGATTAATTGTCTTAGCTTTTATGGGGCCAGAACACAAGAATATAGCTATCGCAACTGTAGTTGCATTACTTACTATGTGTGGTTGCACTTCTGCCGGCTTCATGGTGAGTGTCTGATTTAAAAATCTTTAATAGCGGTTTGACTTGGAAGCGTCGAATTAGTTGTTCATATTCCATGAACTTTGGAGTTAATATTAATTATAAACGGATCCTCAGGGTGGCGGCGACAATTGAGACAATTTACATCCACACGAAATAATATATTCTCTTTAGTACACGTTATGGTGGGTAGAATACGAATGCAACAGAGATATGCTAACCGTCGGTATTTATACAATCATCTTGACCTATTTTAATACAAACTGAGTAGGTAATATTAAACATTGTTCATCTTAATTANGGATCCTCAGGGTGGCGGCGACAATTGAGACAATTTACATCCACACGAAATAATATATTCTCTTTAGTACACGTTATGGTGGGTAGAATACGAATGCAACAGAGATATGCTAACCGTCGGTATTTATACAATCATCTTGACCTATTTTAATACAAACTGAGTAGGTAATATTAAACATTGTTCATCTTAATTATTCTGCTGATTGTTTACGTACAATTATTATTTAATAATATCGAATTATGTAACAAATAACATTAAGGCTTATTGCGCCGGAAGCTGTCAAGCGGAAGGCGCCAATAAAACATTTAAGTATAAAGAAAATATGAATGAACTATTTAGTTGATTATGAAATTACTAATTATATTATAAGAATAATAAGTTCTACATATTTCCTAAGTTCGTAAATAATTTATTATGTGAGGCCGGAAGTGTTGCTCGATAACATAATATTACAAGTTTGAACCGTAAATCGCCTTCCTTGGTGCCAGTTACTTATATATTATACTAACTGTCCCGGTAGACTTTGCAGTGCCTCGATCGATAAATAAAAGACCTAAACTTTTGTATAAAATAAACTTAAAACAAACAAAAGGAATCCGTCCGACGGGGGACATATCAAAGGAAAAACAAAATTGTTATTTTTATTTAATTCAGAGCATTTTCATATTTAACAACCTTTTAATCCTTCTTTAGACTTGTATAAATAATTCAAGATCAAAATTAGTCAAATCGGTCCAGCCGTTCTCGAGTTTTAGAGAGACTAACGAACAGCAATTCATTTTTATATATATAGATTTGATATCCGTGAATAAAACGATAGCATAACTGGTTCGAAAACTAAAAGACTTGCTTTTGAACTTACCAAGAGATTTCAAGATATTTTCTATTGCATTTAAGGGTAGTACTCGTACTCATTATAACAGAAGCTAATATCATACAGACAGGAGTTTAGTAGGCGGCGGAATGGCTTTCCCCCTGGCGTCTATAAGCGTCGATAACTATATTCCATCAGATAGGCTGCCTACAAATTAAGAATATTTAATGATAAAAACTTACATGTCGTAAAACAATTAATAACACGATCCCAAAGTTAATTTTGCTAATGTTGCTTAAACTTGGTCAAATTCTTGTAGGTAAATCACTTGGACCTGTCTCCACACTTTGCCGGCGTGATGCTCTCTATAACCAACTTCGCCGGTAGTATCGGCAGTATACTAACGCCGGTTGGCACTAGTCTTATATTACGTAATGATTCGGTAAGTATCGGGTACTCCTTACTTCCTTAATGGGTTCTTTAACATACTTTCGTGGAGTATATTTCTGGAAAATAAATAATAAATTTAATAGAAAAAGATTTTAATCGACTCTAAATATAATATAAATATACGCGTATTTTTTATAAACTTTGATGCCAATAAAACATTTTCTGGCCTACAAATTGGAACCAATAACTGTTATAAAATAGCTCCCGCTATTTTATACTAAAATTTACTAGTAAAATGTTAAGTTATAAGTGCTATAAGTTATAAGTGTTGAGAATTGTTACTAACTATACTGAGACCTTAGAACTTATATCTCAAAGTGGGTGGCACATTTACGTTGTAGAAGTCTATGGGCTCCAGTAACCAGCTAACGCTAGGTAAGCTATAAGCTCGTCCACCCATCTAAGTAATAAAAAAAAATATTATCGACCATAGATTTAGAAAAAAAAAAGACAAAAAATTTGTATATGATTATTTACAGTCGGACATCTCAAGTTGGCGCATCGTATTTCTAGCAACCTCGGCCATTTGCGTCACTGCCAACATCATTTACCTGATATTCGGCAGTGGCGAGAGGCAGCCCTGGGATCGTCCTGATTGGGGAAACAGAAATAAATCAGATGCAGGTAAATTTACAACACTTTACTTCACTCACTTTCCAGATATCATTGTTCGGTTAGTTTTTAGGAAGCTTGGTTATGAGTATAATAATGTGTTATGAATTGTTAGCATGACATGATGATTTAACAACTTTCTCACCTGTATCTCATATTGCTAAAACTGATTAAATCACATTTTGTAGTTTAAATACTTTTATTCACTTAAGTAATTTATCAAACTCTTTTTTTAACGATATCATCTTTTTATTTCCGCAGAAGAAATACGTCCGGTGTTGACTATGAAACATTTAAATGTTGAAGAACAGGAGAAGACTGCAGAACCATAGCTTTAAGAAGAAAATAGCCTTAGATACTACATCAAATGTACCTTATATTCCATTTTTTGTGTCATAAAAATATACTTTTAGTGCTACTAGGTACTTTTAGTTTTATTTCTCTCTGGCAAAGAAATGTGAACGTGTTACCGAAGATAGTAAAGAATTGGCAATTTTTGGTTTGTCAAGTTTTAAAGCCAGCAAAAGGCAGACAGAGAATTGCTATAATGCCGCTTGTAGTATGGAAACAATTGAGACATACGTTTTGGTCTGCATTTAAATTGAATTTAAAAAAAATATAAATCTAATACTTAATGTAAAAAAAGGGAATCGTCCTAGAACAGTCAGAAGTAGATTGGATCGAAATGAGAATTTTACGATTGCGCGCAAAATATAATTGTAAACATGATTTAATTTCTTGTCGGTGCCTTAACTTGTATGCTACGGAAAATCTTGGATCCACATTACTCTATTTAATAACAACGGTAACTAGTATGTTTGTTAATTTTAGAAAGCAATGAAATCATCAAAATTCCATGGAACGTGGCTCTGAGGCTATGACCCATTGAAACAATGTCAAAGCACAACTCTGACCACCGACCTGTCATCACCTGTCTTCTTTAGATACCATACCGAGTCACGAGGGTCATGGTAGATTACCATCGTTGCACATCAAATCAAACTAGATTCGCGCTCCGGCGTAACCGTCGCCGTAACCGATCGTAATCTTCACGACATGAATTAGAACCGATACCTAACTATAAGAGGCGAGCTAACCCTTAGACACAACACTCAGTTTTTCGCCAGATCTTTTCAGTGGGTCGCGATTCCGGTCCGGTGGTAGTTTCAGAAAAGCACTGCTCTTGGTAGGGCTAGGGTTAGCCAGTCCTCCCAGATTGATTCCGTGAGGTCGCCTACGCGTCCGGTGAAGCTAGCATAATAAATAAATAAATAAAAACCCCTCTAGGTTACTGGCAATCTGGGTAGGCAAAAATAAAATAATTATCAATGCTCGTAACACTACGCAACACACACATTATGGCCCTATTTAAACCTTTTTTGTCATCTTCCAACACAACATGGTCTTAGCATTAACTTTAAGTTCACCTTCATTGATTGTCCAAGATTTTAACTTTAAGTTCATGTGAAAAGGAAGTATCGTCTTGTGAACCACGCTTTTATAATGATCTTAAAGCGCCTTAGAGACGAGCAACATCAATCTTGACCTTAAGCAAAGATAATTTATGTATTGAAGCTACCAAAGAGTGGAATCTATATTCTGTTAGATTATTTTAATCAAATTATCACAGATGTCGATACTTATTATTTTAAAAATATTTTTACACGTTAAAAACATAAGAAATACAACATAGATATACACATAAATTAGAGAGAGAGAGAGAGAGAGAGAGAGAGAGAGAGAGAGAGAGAGAGNNAGAGAGAGAGAGAGAGAGAAAGAGAGAGAGAGAGAGAGAGAGAGAGAGAGAATACACTTTATTGCACACCAAAACACAATTTACATTCAAAAAAACAATCAAAAAACAGATAAATTTGTACAATGGGCGGTCTTATCGCTAAAAGCGATCTCTTCCAGACAACCGTTTCATTTATAGAAATTCTGGAAAATATAAATTAGTTATAGATAAACAACTCAAGCACTCACTAAAAATGTTAGCCACTAGATGGCTTCGCTTAGATTAGTTTCTCTTGCTCCTGTAGATGGCAGTAACATATTACCTATCCTATATTTTATTTATAATGTAGGGTTTTGTAAATTTTCAGAAACCACAAATCGATAAATTTTAATCAATTTGTCTATAACAAATTAAGACTTGTATGATTTTTTTTTAACTTCTGTATTTAGTTATACAATAATTAAACGCCCTAGCTTTATCAACGTATAAGTTTAGGGGAATCCTCTACAAGATGTCGCTAGTTTCCATGCAAAACTGTTTAATTGTTAGAGTAAACTTTGTCTTAGAGTATCCCAGTTTCAGCGCCCTGGTTACAACTGAAGAGGTGTTCTACGGCGGTCAGCTCTAGCGCATCGTGTGACCGGACCAATGGAGAGTTACCCCTGGGGTAAACATTCTCTGTCTCGTCAAGTACTGCCATTTTCTCTTTTAATAAGGCTAGGTTTTTATTTCCAAAAGTATGTACATAATTTTTGACATTAAAAAAATATTTGTATACTTAAGAAACATAAATGATAAGCTATAAGGAAGAAATCACTATGAAATTGTTATCAAAACACAGTAAGTAATATTTCAAAACGTATAATAAAAAACTGAAATTCAAATTCAAAATAATTTTTAATACAGATTTTCTATATTAATTTAGCGCAATTGCCCCTCTCTTAATTATCAAATTGCTCCCTAATGGGGTGTGGGCCCCACGTTTGAAAACTCCGGTTTAGTCTCTGCCGAAATACAATATAATCTTTTCAATAAGTGAAATCAAATAAATAGCTCATTCCTAGTGGCATCCTTAAGTTTTAATAATGAAATACCTAATCTGGTCTTACGAATGAGTGAAAGCGCTTACCACGAGAACCATAATTTTAGTACAAACTTAAGTATCATCACCTTGTTTGGTACTTAAGATACTCGTATACATATTATTATATTACTACAATAGCCCGTCACTGTAAACTAACTAAGTTATCTCGTTAATTAATGTGTCCCAACCACAATAACTTAAATAAGTGTTTTTATCTATTTTCACTACTATTTTGTAACTTTGAGGGAATAAATTCTAACTATTAAAGAGACACAAGTGAGTTATTTAGTGCCGACAGGTAGCCATTTTTTTTTATAGCTTAGATATGTAGACGAGCTCTCAGCCCACCTGGTGTTAAATGGTTATGGAGCCCATAGTCATCTACAACGTAAATGCACCACCCACCTTGTATAAGTTCTAAGGTCTCAGTATAGTTACAACGGCTGCCCCACCCTTCAGACGTGTCCGCAGCAAATTTAGCCCACGACATGGCGAAGCTGGAAAGGTCTTCGGCCCAAAAGTTAAACTGCCATCCCAAAATTTTAAAAAACTCCAGGGCGCAAAATAACTTTAATGCCAACTGTCACTCGCGTCTTGCAAAAGAGTAGAGCATTCCCTTTCAATATTCACAAAAAACCTTAAATATATTATTATGTATATCTTGGAAATCTATCAGACAATAACAATTGTTAATTCAATGTTTTCTTATTTATGTTTAACTATGTTTGGCCTTTTTGTGTTAATGAAGATGATATCAGTCAATTTCATCAGGTGACCTCATTAACATTGGCGTCATTGGCATAAGTCTAAATAGCAAAATGACGTATGAAGATCCATGACAACGAACCATCTCTGCAAACTGCGTTTTACTTAAAAATATCTCCACATCACGTATTCATAACTAAACAACGGAGACTATTAAATAATTAGACTTGACATTCAATATTGATTTACTAAAAACAATTTTAACAACTAGAGAATAAGGTTGTATGTCCCGTGAATATCTTCGTAAGGTTCTATACCACGTTTCAGGGTATTTACAATATCATAATCGTTTTACAAACAAGCAGATAACAAATTAACTGATAATACGTACGTCCAACAGTCTAGACGAAACATTTCATATGATTTTACACGAAAATAACATTGTTTGATTGAGAAAAAATCATCGAAAATCATTTTAAAAAGTTAACAAATATGGATGTCGAATTTTTGAGATACCAATTCAGCGATGGATACACTGGAGTTATTTCTAAACAAAGTAAGTGCGTTTTAGCTGTTTAACCATGAAGTCAAGTCAGCTGTGGTTCATACGTAGTTTGCAGTCATGCGTGGTTTATAGGGTGCGACAATCGTTATATGTGTGGGTGTATTCACCTTATGATATCTATAGACATAAGATCGTCCATCCATCAAAAATATTATCCCACAATTTTTTGGAACGAAGTTCCTTATGGGACGATGCGGAGGGAAAAAAACGTCCGTAGCGTAAGATTTTTATTAGTAATGCACACAGTGTAAGAATTAACTTTGTAATAACGTAAAAATTAGAAATGCAAACAGTGTACGACTTAACTTTGTAATAACGTACAAAAAATAACATATTTTTTTATCATTCATTGACCACGATCTCAGAGCGTTCATTTGCGCAATACACTAACTCTTATGCAAACAACCGTGAATGAAGTGTACCACAATAAGTTCTCACGTTACCGAATGACCATGGGCTGTTGCGAAACCTCCAGTTTTATTTTCTTCATACCTCGAATAGAACTTAAAATTAATATTTTTATAATAAGGAACTTCGTTCCTATCCGGTGTCCCACGACACCACACATCTTTTTATTTAGTTTATATTTTATTTGTCCTAGATGGGATGGGAGTTGCAATTGTCTTTGACAGCGGCTGTTCCGTCACTCAAACGGGAACGAACTATTGCTTAGTAGTAGGACTCACGATCATTCCAGCATTTTCTTCCTAGTCTTTAATATATTAATATTTTGTAAGTTTCTAAATATTGTAAGTTTACTTATGACATTACGTTAGCTCTTTCACCGTCAGGAAGCTTCACTGTAATTTTTAATTACAACTGACATTTCAGGATTTAAGGTCGGAATACGACACGTGCAGATCCTTTACATGTTCGTTGGAGCTATCGTCATTGGGCTAGTGAGGGGGAGCATAGGTGTTGCTGTACTAGCTTTAAACGATGAGGATCGCCGACATGATACTTATTTAGAGGTAACCGATGTTTGATAGTTTCGCTCATTCAATGCCATCCATCTGGACACATTCTGGACTTCTTCAAAAGAGGCTTGTGGAGAGTATTAAGCGGTTGGCAGCAGCTTGGCTCTGCCCCCGGCATTGCTGAAGTCCATGGGTGACGGTAACCACTTACCACCAGGTGGGCCGTATGCAATAAATAAAAATTTGGAAGTTTCTGGTAGAATGTCATAACAATAATCCCAATTTACAATTCACGGCTCACGTGAAGTGAGATCCAAACGTGATTGTTTATGTAATAGGTAATCATTGTTGTAGTTTTTTTTCTGATGAATAGATAAACTCAGGGCCGTTGGTTTATAGGAGCTTCTAAATTACAAATATGTCAGAATATTACAATAAATGAATGATACCGATTGTAATGGTACGGAGCAATGTGCACAATACAATTGCAACCTAATGTTTCAGGGCGAGAACAACTTTCGTGTTGTAATTCTTTCTTATCTGAATTAGTTAAACACAATCCACATGTGACTACCCTTTTCCAGTTTTTTTTAACCCAGATTAGTGAACGAATTCTTGACATATCTGGTGTAACGCGAGGCTACAGGCTACAGTAATAGCTCATAGAAATCAGGGTGTGAAGCCATCGTTGTTCAGCTGTTCTACCCTTCAAGCCGGAATGCCGGAATGCGGAATGTTTCGATGCAGAAATAGAGTTGAAATATGCCTTAACACCAGTAGTTGACGACTGGTGGTCACAATACGCTTGTATAATATTCAAAGGGCGCTGCAGCTCATACTCCGGTGAATCTCTTAGTTTATCGGCATTTGCGACTCGAAACAATCCAATCTTGTGGCTCTGCCAGTCTGGTTGTAGTGACCAAGAGAACCTATTATACTCTACTCTGACCGGCTTCTGTCCCCGCTGGAGAGCAGATGTTGGGTGAGAGAGTGCAAGGGGAGTCGTTTGGTGCAGTAGGGCCCTAAAATTTCCTTGGGTTCGTGGTCTGCTCCCAACATCTGCAGACCGTCAAGGTCCACATACTCTGCGTGCCCTAAATACGGATACCTTATAGGAGGTTCGGCATATTGCCCGAAAAAAATAAGCTAATACAATTAACTCAAAGGAAATAGAACACCAGTAACTAAACTTAGCGAGATAAATGTAAACGCATCGCCTTATTGATACAAAATGGTCAGAGCATTTTCTCCTGACAGACCTAGACTGGGAAAGCCACTTGGTACCAGATGTTTCGTGAGCTTATTAACTCATCTCCACTACTAAAGTACTCACCATTTTAATCAAAAGAGAATATATATTACATTATGTATTTTAAAACAAATTATACGAAAAATCTGGAATTTAGAAATTTTAAACTCAGATTCACAATTGGGATAAAAGAATTCAAGGAGCAGTAATGTCGTCATTCTTCTTTGGATACGCAGTGATGCTAGTACCAGCTGATTTGTTACTGAGGAAAATTGGTGGGAAAATCGTTTGCACAGCCATATTCGTTGTCAATGGAGCTCTATGTGTTGCTATGCCTACAATTGTTAATAAAGTAAGTAATAATATAATGATGTGGAGTACTTCAGAATGAATAAACAATAAAATAATGAATTGTGTTCTCTGTGATGTAATAGAAAAAAAAACATTTAAAGCCCTAAATCTCTTTCAAAATTAATATAAAAAATTGAACAATAAACATTATCAATACGCCATACAAAACTGAACTAGACTTCACTCCATGACACTTAATGACACTGAAGAAAAATCTTGTTTAAAAACTAAATAACTTTAAATAATAAAGGCTTTTCTTTACAAGAATATAAATAAATTTTACAAGTACTGATATGATGATCATTTCGGTAAGCAATGCAGCCATATTATTAAGAATATTTTACAGGCTACATGAACCAGTAAATTTAAAAGTAGCTTTTATAGGATTGGAGACATTTAGTGATCATTTACATTACATTATGTTGATTGCAATGTATGTATATATATCTTGTCTTTTCGCCAACGTCTTCTCCGCTCCCAAAACCAGTTTGACGCAGTAAAGTGCCATATGTTTCGACAGGAATAACCTCATTCAGTCGTTCAAGACGCGAATGCAATAATGCGGTAATTACTGCACATCTTGCTGGGTACTGGGTACTTTATATCATGTAGTTGTCCCTTATTTTTGTTACTTAGATGTGACAAATTGTTCCATGTCATAGAAAACCCTCGCTTTATTTTCAGTTTCAGTATTCAATTGTCCTGGAATATTTTTAGGGTGGATGGGTGGCAGCATCGAACGCACAGTTGTTCATGG